TGAAACTGTTACACGTTGGCTCTATTGATCTAGAAGTGAGTGAACACATACAGTCGCTTGCTCACTTTCCGATCATCTCCCTGCAGAGAGCGGTGACTGCAGTCACCGCTCCCCGCAGGGATTCCCCCCCTCCCTGATCCTCCAGCACTGAGTGGAGGAATGGACAAGGGAGTGGGCAGGCACAGCTGGCTCTGCCTCTAGATAGGCAAAGCCCGCTGTCAATCAGCCAGCTGGGTGGATCTCAACAGTATTGCCAGGATCCATCCCGGCCGTGGCGCTCTCAGTATATAGCGAGCAATAGCCGCTATATACTGAGCTTTGGGTCACGGGAGGATGTTAGTATATGTCCTCCCGTGACCCTATATAGAACTATGGGATAACAAGGTTACCCCATAGTTCTCTTTTAAATGGACTTCACTAACAAATTAAATCTGATCCCCAGCTAACACTTTTTAAGCAGCTTCAGCGATAGTTTTGTTTTTCCTTTTGGGATAAAGGTTTTACATAAATGAATGAAAGCGGACCATTGTAATCCCCCCTGTCAGTGTTAAATAGTTTGTCTCAACCCTCTCTATCTGCTACTTTTGCTGGACAGCTTGGTCTGGTAATATAACTGACTTACTGACCGGATCATCGGGTGAAAATAAAGGGGGGAAAAAGCCCATAAAATATAAAGTATGCAACGGCCATATTTAAAGACTGGTTAGCTGCAATGTTTATATTTTTTGGGAGGGTTTAGATACTCTTTAACCCCAAACTGTTGGTGTCATTAGGAGCTAAATGAACCCCAAATCATTGGTGTCACTGAGAGCACAATTAACCTCAAATCGTTAGTGTCGGTGCGTTTCAGCATTTGGCTCCCTGAAAGGTGCCAACTGCCTGGATCTTGTTTTACAGTCTGCGAGACGTGGATACCGCAGGATAGTGTTTAAAGTCCCAGGACTGTCTTACTGGATCCTGGACACCTCACATCTACGCTGCTGATTCTCTCCTAAAGGTCCTTGTTCAGGAACTTTCTCTAATGGGTTGACAAGACTCTACTAGTTGTGCTTTTTGTGTTGTCACCGTCACTTGCATCTCTAGAGAAAACCACATGTTGGCATACTGACACACTGTGCAGGTGCGGTCCACTGTTGTTACTATTAGGAAGCCAATCCAGAGCCATGATGTGCAGTGCACGCATGTACACAGGAAGAGGCTGGAGGAGATCAGCAGCACTGAAATGCAAGAAAGGATCAGAAAGAAGTGATATCAAATTATTTGAAAAAGAAAAGCATTGCAGTTGTATATGCAATGAGACACAATGCTTTATCAAACTAAGGACCCTATTTATAGTAAAGAGCGGACACCGCAGTGATACTTCACACCGTGGCCTACACAGTGGCCAAGTTCACACTGCATAACTATGCAGAGAGAATTTCATGGCTAGACGGGTCATGTGACTAGATTCTCCTTATGGCTTTTTTCCCTTTTCGTAAACTGTTCAGAATGGTGCTTCCGTTGTTTTGATTCCCAGACTGCAATGCACATTCGTAAAGCAACTGAGCTTGATAAATGTGAAGTGTTGTTCCTTTTTAAAGCAGTGGTATGCCCACAATAAGTCAAACTAGAACTATATATATATATATCAGGGCTTCTCAGGTGTATAAACCACAGTCATTGTGCTTCACATAAAATCCGATTTTTTCAATTATTTAACTAAAAACGTATCAAATCAAACTTGTAGTATTGCTGTGTGTTCCAAAAGCCATATAGTACCTCTTGGACCTGACACGTGTGTCTACTACAGACACTAATCATATATACATATGACATGAATACACTAGGGTTGCCACCCATTCGGTTTTCACCTGGACAGTCTGGTTTTGGAGTCTTGTGTCTTGGTGTCCAACCAGCGGTACACAAGGCACTCAGTGCCTACAACAGCACATTTTCTGACAGATGCGGCTGCCGGGGTCCTCGGCAAGCATAATCCCGGGGCAGCTGCACCTCCCTGAAACGGGATCTTCCTCTGAGCTGCAGGCAGCCTGTGCCTGTTTACAGGTGCACGTAGCTCAGAGGAAGATTCAGGTTTCATGCCAATGCGGCTGCCCGAGATCGCACTTACCGAGGACCTCGGCAGCCGCATCTGTGATTGCTCCTTCTCCTCCGGCTCCCTGGCACTGTGCTGCCCGCCTGTGGACCCCGGGGGAGACACCGTAGCCGACAGCCCTGAGAGTCGCACAGCCCACCTGAGTGTCACACAGCCCACCTGAGAGCCCGCCAACCCAGAACAGTACAGAGTATGTTGCTTCATATTATTTTTGTATCGCTGGGATTTGTAGTCCTCTATAGCTGGTCTCCTTACTCCCTCCCCTCCCTCCTCCCTCCCCTGGCTGCCTCTCCTCGCTCTCTCCTCTATATTCTCCAAAAAAAAAATTGCCGTGCACGGCACTAGAGTGTTTAGGTTTCACTTAAAGAAAAGGTGGCAACCCTAGAATACACTTATTATAAATGCATATATGTTGGAACAATCTTCAACCCTTTTCACTTCTTCAGGAAGATGAGGTAACATTAAGGCCCCATTCACACTGCGCGATTTGCATTTTGCGCGATATCGCGCAAATGCTTGCATTGAGCAAGCTTAAATTGCGGCTAAATCCGCTCCAAAAAAGGTCCTGCTGTAGCGACACACGACCCGCGACAGCAGGACCCTTTGCCCCATTGAGAAGCATTGGAGAGCGATATCGCACGGTAAATTGCCGCGCGATAAATCGCTCAATGTGAACGGGGCCTACAAGATTCTTCATTAGCAAACTGTGGTCTGTATTGCTGGAATCAACATATGCAGAGAGGGTTATCATACCATCACCAGAGGAGCATCCTGTCTCTCTCTCATACAATTGGAAACGGTGGGGTATGAGGTAGGGACAGGATATGCGCTGAGGTGCGTTGGTGGCATGGGTGTTTGGTGACGGTACGATAACCCTCTCTGTATATGTTGATTTCAGCAATACAGATCATGGTTTGCAAATGAAGAATCTTTTAAAGTCACCTCATCTTCCTGAAGAAGCTGAAAAGCATTGACGATTGTTCCAACATATATGCATTTATAAAAAGTGTATTCATGTCATATGTATATATGATTAGTGTCTGTAGTAGATACACGTGTCAGGTCCAAGAGGCACTATATGGCATTTGATTTGATATGTTTTTATTGAAATAATTGAATAAATGGGATTTTAAGTGAAGCACAATGACTGTGCTTTATACACCTGAGAAGCCCTGATATAAATATATATAGTTCTAGTTTGACACATGTATGGGGTGTGGTGTTAGAGGGTTCGGGGTATGTAGGTTTCTTGGGGGAAAATAAGGCCACAATAATAGGACCTTTTAAAAAAAGAATAAATGCGCACTTCTTTATAAAAGGAAATAATGTGCATGGATGATGTTTTTGTATAGGAGCCAGTAAAGCATTGCAGCCTCGATCAATGGACGGTAGATGCAATGCTCTGGCTACTGCAGACTCCTCCTCCCGTCCATGGTCATACCTGACAGTAACATGGAGGGGAGGTAGTAGGAATGGACTACATGTACAGTGACATCACCACACTTGTGTCCCCTCTGCCGCAGTGGCTGATAGGACTTGTAATCGCTCTGTGTGGGTGCTGAAGGAACAAAATGTAAACATGCCAGTTAAGGAGAAGAACCCCACAATTCTGGTAAATGGGGGTTAGGGTGCTTCATGATACACCCTAAATATATACATGTAACATAACACATGGTCTGAACAGTGAAGTTAGCCTTTAAGCATAAATGTCATTCAGTTAGGGTTTACATGCAGGGCAGTACTACTGTAGGAGAGCCTGTGACAGGACAGCATTAGTTTTCTTTTCTGATCCTGCCAGTAACAAACTTCCTGTCCTGGGGTGACGAGGCTCACTCACCTTTCTGTATCAGGACTATGGATACAAGGCATGACTATAGGACTCTGCCCCTCCCCTATTCTACATAACATAGAGGGACATGGCTCTAGACATGTGCGATTCGTTTCGTTCCGAAACTAAATTCGGATGAATGCAAACAAATCCGAATTTCCGTTTCCGAAATTCATTAGCGGTAGTTTGTTTCGACCGATCGTTTCGTTTTCTTATTCGTTTCTTATTCTATTCGTCCGTTCGTTGCATCAAAGTGACATTAGAGAAGGAGAAAAAAAAATTTCCCCTCAAATGTCACTTTGTTGCAAATGAACGAAACGAAAACGATTGTTCGAACGAACTACCTCTAACGAATTTCGTCCGAATTCCGAATCCCAATTGACTTTCACACCCGAATCCCGAAAAACGAAATAACACAAAATCTGAATCAAAACGAAACGAAAAACAAATTTTTTGCCAGTGCACATGTCTACATGGCTCTGTAGTTCTCAGATACACCTGAAAACAATGTCAGGACAGGAAGTTATCAGCTCACAAGAGCTGATATGCAGCATGCTAAAATGGCCCTATTGGCCCTAAAATGTACTTAGCCATTTTAGGGCCAAGAACCAGGTTTGCTTCAATTCCCCTTCCATACCCAACAGCATATACAACCCCCCACCACCAGGATCAACAAGTATTTTTGGGGATATTAAACGAATCTAACAAAACACTTTCAAGGGTATATTTATTGTAGAGATTAAAAGGGACCATTGTTGGGATTTCCATCCACCTATACAAGTGAGAGGAAATCCTAGCTGTCAGTATGAGGACATGAGTCAGATAAATTGGTGATGTGAATGGGATATGTTGGTTCTCTAACATCCAGCCTGCTCCTTGAGGACTGCATTTAGGCCATTTGCACTACCCCGTGTGCGGCCATTTGTGTCATTTGGTTCTAGTTATTTCCATCCCAGGACTCTTGGCAATGACACTGTTGACAACGGTTGCCATCGAGACAGAAGAAGCGTCCATCCCCAGAGCTTTCTGCAGGCGGCCGGCCAATCAGAGACTAGAAGGCGGGTCACATGACGAGGTGGATTATACACGATGAGGCAGGCTGCGGGGCTTTAGTTCAGAATTCGGTTGAGCTGGACTCGGTGCTGCTAGGAGCTGAGGGAAGATGTTCGGGAGCCTGCTCCGAGACTTTGAGGAAGACCCATTCTTTTCGTGAGTCCCATTACACACCGATCACCGGTCTGTGCGCTGCTGTTACTCTGCTGACAGCAGCCTCATCCATATACTGCCGTGGGACTACAAATCCCAGCATGCTGCATAGTGCCATGAGAGGTGTGGAGGGCCTGCTGTACAGGGGATTACACACTGACCATCGTCCTCATAGGATGCATGGCCATGGCTGACATTGTTCCAGCTCTTCCTGTCATTCCTGCCGCTTTGTAAAAAGGCACTTTCATTTCCTTAACGTGGAACTAGACAGAAACTACATGTATGATGCAGCCCCTCATATGTATGATGCAGCTTAATATATGTATGATGCAGCCTGTCATATGTATGATGCAGCTTAATACATGTATGATGCCGCCTATGACATGTATGATGCAGCCTGTCATATGTATGATACAGACTATGAAATGTATGATGCAGCCTGTCATATGTATGATACAGACTATGAAATGTATGATGCAGCCTGTCATATGTATGATACAGACTATGAAATGTATGATGCAGCCTGTCATATGTATGATACAGACTATGAAATGTATGATGCAGCCTATGACATGTATGATACAGACTATGAAATGTATGATGCAGCCTATCACATGTATGATACAGACTATGACCTGTATGATGCAGCCTGTCACTAGTATGATGCAGACTATGACAGGTATGATGCAGCTTTGACATGTATGATGCAGCCTGTAACATGTGTGATACACCCTATGACATGTATGATGCAGCATGTCACATTTATAATGCAGCCTGTCACATGTATGATGCAGCCTGTCACATTTATAATGAAGCCTGTCACATGTATGATGCAGCCTATGACATGTATGAACACATTGGTCCCCCCCATCCCATAACACAATCTGTTGCTCTTGTAGGGAGGATCAGGTAGGTGCTGGTTGCATTGGCATGTCCTCTTGTAGTCTGACGTGTGAGCGTACATTTGGGGTGCCGATGTTGTGGTTGGCACAGGTCAGTGTTGTCACCCTTCAATCTCCAGCCACACAGGTTTCTAGATTGTGAAGTCATTTTGTAATGCAGTGTACAATGTTTGCTGTGTACACCCTTCATCAGTGTGCCCGATACTACTGTCAGCGTGGTACAGCGTGCCCCTCGCTCACCCCTGTGAGCAGACAGAGGAGGGGATAGGACCACTTCACTCTCACAGCTCACTTTAACTGCTTGATGTATTCAGCTACCTCTCACCCAGCTGTGGCCGACCTACAAATCCCATCATGCCTCAGCCTCAGGGAGTCATGCTTGTGACTGCCAGAGTCTTGCAATGCCTCGTGGGACTTGTAGTTCCACAACAGCTGGAGTGCCGAGGTTGCCCACCCCTGGACAAGTCCATTCATAAGTCGACTTCTGCTGGTTTAATAATAAAGATTTCCAAGGCTGAAGTGACCTGATAATAGAGGGGAAGCCGTATTTCTATCGGGGTGAGGATTCCGATTCTTCATTTTCTATCCTAGAAATCCTCATGGCGCTGGCTCAGCATGGACTCAGATGATAGAAAACTCTTCTCCTAGTCCTCCAATATAAGAGTCAGTCATGGGAGCCGCCATTGCTGACCTAGATTATAAAGTGTCAGCACCCCTGCCGTGTTCTCATTGCTGTCTGCCTGCCCTGGGCTCAGAAATACAAAAGCTTACAGTTGTCACCTGGAAAGGAAAGGAATAGAAGGTTCCAGCTGCTCAGTGGCGGGTCTATTGGCCCTCAATTTGGAGAGATTTCCTTTCACTCCCCGGTGTGTCTCTGGGACAGGAAGTGAGGCCGGGTTCACACTTGGGTGATCTGTGACCATGCGGCTATCGTGCACCAAACCACAAGGATGGCCGTGGAGTCACGGAATCGCACGCCACCGCTCAACGCGCCAGAGGTGCCATTATTTTCTAATGTCACACCAGGCAGATCGCATGGGTTCCCGCAATCGCCATTCTGTCTGTGCAATTGCGCACAATCGCGGTTGAAAAATCTGCGCCATGAAAAAAGCTACATGTACGCGTAGTCCCGGGATCGCCCGAGTGTGCACACGCCCTGAAGGGAAATCTCCCCAATGGAAAACTGACCTTGGCTTTAATCTACTCTTTGTAAGACCAAAAACCCCAAAGCGCGGGCCGTATACAGTATATACTTCACTGTAAAGCACATTTGTTCATCATTTCAAACTAGAACTCATTCTAAGAGCAGATACCACAGCCAGTTACAGGCGTGACTCCCAGATGCAGAGGCATGTTGGGATTTGTAGTTGGAGCTGGAGGGCTGGAATTGCCCACCCCTGACCTGTATACTGCAGACACAACCAGCTCTGTAAGCAGCTGGGAGGGGGGTGTTAGTGTAGTTTAGCTTGGTGAGGGGTGAGAGGCTGTAGTTTAAGGCAAACCCGTACTTAGCCATTTTAGGGCCAAGAACCAGGTTTGCTTCAATTCCCCTTCCATCCCCAACAGCATATACAACCCCCCACCACCACGCACGAACGCACGCACGCACACGCACACTTGTACTTCTGGGTATAGGGAAACATGTGACAGCATTGAACCAATCACACAGGAGTCCGTAGACCTATGTAAGCCATGACTCTAGTGACTTGTAACTTACCCCCGAGCTCCTCCTTCCCTCCCGGCAGGGGAATAGAAGGAAGTATATATGCGTCTGGAGGGCACCATTAAAGAGAACCTGTTGTTTACAAACTGCAAGCAAATATTTGTTTGGCTCCTGTAGATCATTATTGGTTTGTTTATATTTGTTTGTATTTCTCTTACGGCCGCATTTCAGTTACGAGCAAAATTTCTCTGTAGGAACTCATGATAAACATCTAAAGAAGAACTCTGAGGAAACATGTTTTTAACCCTTGCAGTGAGGGGGTAGCCACACTGCAAGGGTTAAGAAAGTGCTCATTTGTGTTCAACAAGAACTCAGAGCTGGCTTGTTGGTAGAGCGGTCCCTGGAGCCTCTCTCCCCCTCCACTGCAGTAGACTAAGGTCCCAGAGTCATCATGTTCTATACACAGTGTATAGGACGTGAGGATGCTGAGGGACACACCATTGCTGCAGCGTAGGAGGAGAGAGGCTACAGGGACCAGTATGAGGATCGGGTGAGTATAACTGTTATTCTTGAACCTAGACACAAACAAGCACTTAACTCTTGCAGTGCCCCATTGCAAGGGTATAGCAAGTTCAGCTGTAAAATGTATCCGTGGCCGTTTTTTTGGAATAGTGGGATGTGGATTTGGCAGCGCATTTTGCCAGTTTTACGCAATTTATGGAAACGAGGTGTTAACAAGCTAAGATGTGTTCAGGCGCATTGCTTTAAGATGTATGGATTGAAGAGCAATTCTAGGCAAGAAGTAAAAGCAATGTGGGAGCGGCTTGTGCTTTGCAGCAAACACTGCAGCTGTGCTGAAATCCGAACGTTGGCTCAGTTTTCCTTATTCTGATGTCTTTGTATGACACTGTGACCAGTATTTCCAGCACCCCTCCCTCACAGGGGAAAGGTTCTCTGCAAGTGGTGCTGCATAACTTCCTCTCTCTCTTAGCATTTTTTATCACATTCAGACTTCCAAGGCATGTTTCATTCTGATTGGTGACATTGTAGTTATACTGACACCCTGAGCGTGCATTGGGATTGGGTGAGAGCTCCTCCCCTGTACCTAAAGCTGACATTTCATATTACCGGGTTACCTACACAAGGGGCTCAGCGGAATTGGTGCCCCACAGCAGACTGTGCTCCCTCTATGTATTGGGAGAGTAAAATATACACGGGACACTACACTAGTGGGGGCTGTCAGTCACCCCCGACCCCCACCCCTCTCCATTCCTCCAGGGCTCATTGGAGGGACAGATAGGGGAGGGGGCGGGCACAGCAGGCGCTGGGGCAATCAGACAGTGGGGTGGATCCTGACAATATTGTCAGTAGGGATGCACCGATATTTTTTTTTCGGTACTCGCCGATACCGAGTACCAGAGCGCCCATTCAGGAAGCCAGGCGGCGTCTCATGACTCCCGATTAGCAGGGAAGCCGTCCCCACGCTTCTCGTCACTAGGTGACGAGAAAGCATGGAGCTGGCTTTCTGGCCAATCAGGAAGCGGGGCGCCGTGTAATGACGCAACGCTCGGCTTCCTGATTGGCTGGGAAGCCGGCTCCATGCTCCCTCGTCATGAGGTGACGAGGGAGCATGAAGCTGGCTTCCCGACCAATCAGAAAGCCAAGCGTTGCGTCATTACACAGCGCCCCGCTTCCTGATTGGCCCTGGCTTCCTGATTGGCGAGCTTCCGACCAATCAGAAAGCCAGGCAACGCGTCATTACGCACTGCCCGGCTTCCTGATTGGTCGGGAAGCCGGCTCAATGCTCTCTCGTCACAATAATGATGACGTGTAATGACGCGCTGCCCGGCTTCCTGATACAAGAAGTATGGGGCTAGGTAGCGGAGCATTTGGGCAAGTACGAGTACTCTCCGAAATACTGGGATCGGCACCGATACTGACACTAGTATCGGTATCAGTGCACCCCTAATTGTCAGGGTCCTTCCCGGATACAGTGCGGCTCTGAGCTGTCACCATATTGCACTCATTACCTAGACTCATTAGTAAATATGCTCCTGTCACCCAAGACAAGGTAAAGAAACCTTCTCTGATTGCTATTGTATCCCCAAAAGCTGACGCCCCCGCCCCCCTCCATTTAGAAAAGCCTGGTGATCATGTGTGTGACAGGAGTAGCCCGGTTGGGTATACGGGTGGTCACACTTTGCAATTCGCTGGCTTTTTTGGGCAATATTGTATTTTTATTTTAGAAGCAGATGCTGGATTTCAGCCTCCATTTTATCGGCTGTATTGTGAAGGGCCCGTTCACGCTGCGCTGCGCTGTGACATCCCCAGTACTGTGTGTTGTATCGCTGTCGCTGTTTACATTTTTTCTTTTTATTAAAAACTTTATTGGTAGTGTACAATGTGAGCACTCCATTCAGGTCCTCCCACAGCAGCGG